TTTTTAGTGGACTGAAACGAAGGTCTAAATTACAGATTCCAAGAATTAAGGTTTTTCCTGTGTTTTTGTTGACTTTGTTCCCTAGTTTACATGTTTTCCTGCAGTTGTGCATTGTGTGCTTTTATTGCCTTATTTCCACATTGAAAAGATCTTACTCTGAGTGTTGGAAGATCTCAGTTCTTTTTTATTGATAAGGAATGCCTATCAGTAACATATTTACTTTAATTTTTGAATGTGACAAATAAGAATTTCTTAATATGAAATAGTGTAACTGTATTTTAGGTGAATTTTATAAAGTTTTTTCTGGCTGATATAGTTTAAATTGTCTGTATACAGAAAAATTATATACATAAAGCAGGTCAGCTATATACCAGAGAAGATGCAGAGAAGATGCCCGACTTTGAATTTTTATTCTCTGGTTATGGATGTATTAATTGACCTTTCCAAGTGTATGTTTTGATCTTTGTTTTTAACCATTTTGTTTGATAAAAGTGAAAGGAAACTATGACTTACGGTCTTAACAGTTCTTCCATCTCTGTTTTTAGTTCCACTGAGGAAGCTTTTTTGGTAGAAGGTTGTTGCTTCATTGGGATTTGATCTGTTTTTAAAAAGCCCTGAGTCAATATTCATGTTACGGAAGTAGATATCTTTGTGGGGAGGCAGGAAGTTTTATGAGACAGGGTGAGATATGATTTAGCCCTCTCTGTTATCATTTGACTTCTATATCATGTTCTGTTGTGTCAGTGTTAGGGTATATGGCTCTTTCCTTTCTCTCCATTGCTTATGATATACCACTTCCACAGGCTGCAGCAATGCATTGGCTGTGAGATCATCTTATCTCAGTGTTACACAGTTTCTATTCTCTGTAGTTTCTATGAGCTTTAGGACCATAGGATTATACTAAAATCTTAAAGGAGTTTGAAGATACTGTTCTTGTATGAAAGACTTTCTTGACTTTTATGCATGGAGGTAGAAAACCATAGCATTCTCATGAAACTTAGCTACTCTGTATGTAAATAATAGTGTATGTTGAAATATTTAATTTCATCTAGTGATTATCGTATTTATGTCTCAGGAAATAATGTCTTAGTTAATTAAGTACCATAAAAGGCCACCTTTTATTACAGAGGTGACAGTGAAAAAATACTTAACATGCTTGCCTGCTGAGCTATGTAGATTATCCATACTGAAACCCACAAGAGTAACTCTGAAGTTATTATTTGATGAGTAAGATTATAATTATGTTAATTGTTTGAATTAGAATTCCAGAAAAAAATACACAGAAAGGTTTCCTTGTTTTAATTAAGATGCTATTCTTGTAGAACCACTGTGAAGGGATGCTAGTAGTTCAAGTTGCAGTTAAAAGGTATACATCTTCAAGTAAGAAAATATTTATGTGCATTTTTTTACTCAAGACGTGAATTTCCCAACAGCTAGTGATAAGAAGTCAGTGATTACTTACTTAGTTTGCAAGACACAGAAGTTACTGGGATATAATTTCAAGTTAAAATCTAATTTAAACAAAAACTGCATTTGAGATAACTTGTCTGGGCTTCAAACCTGATTTAAGAATTTTTATTTAAAGACACTCTGCGTGTCTCAGTTCCTGGCAAAGGAAATTGGTCTGTTGGGGTTTGTTGTTTTTTTTTCACTCAGACACAGAGAGATGGAAAAATCAACAAGGCAGACTGTTCCTAGACATGAATAAAACCGGCACTAGTATGTAGATGATATTTTTTAGGAAACTCTAAGTATGTGCTAAAAAATGTGCAGCTCTCTGGAAACTAGGATTCTGCTGCCTAACTGCTTAGACTTCAAACTTATTAGTAACACTGATGAAGTTTCTAATACGACATTTTAGTAAACACTGACTGACAGTGATAGAAGGAGCTATTAGATTCTGTTGCCTACCTTGTATCTCAAGCCACAGTATATCCCCAAGGTATTATCATAAAGAGCCAGAAGATTTAAGTTCGACCAAATTTAGTCCCTAGGTGATCTTTATATGAAGCTGTCAAAGAAGCAAAGAGCTAGGAGTGCTTTTACAACGATTTCAGTGGGTAAGAACTGACTGTGATAAATGTAATATTGTTTGAGAAAATACTGCATGTTTGTGCTACAAGTACTATGAAGAAATAGAAGATCACTTCCTTATTTCAGGTAATCCTTTGGGTATGTGTAGAGGATGTAACATATTTTTCTCTTTACTATGGTTTTATGTTGAGGAGTCAGGTTGTCCTATGCCATCCCTAAAGCCTTTGAGGCACTGCTTTTCAAAAAAATCATTTCCAGATGAATCCATTTCTATTTCCATTGTTAAAATATTATTTGCTGAGTTGCAATTGTTACTGCATGTAGTAATAATGGTTTGATCTCACTTTTATCTACTCTGTAGATCTCTACTGCTAGAGGTTTGCTTAATCATGACCAATAATCAGGTGTTCTAGAAGGACCTGCTCATTGTTGGAACAAAGGGAAGAGTGTTTTATCTTGGAGTATCACCCATTGGTGTACCCCAGTGATCTTCATCCATTGATACCAAACACTATTATAAGGAGATATAGGTGTTCTGATATAATCAAACCTTAGAGAGTATGCATGATTTACAGATCTAAACAAGCTAAAAGCAAACAAGCATTTTATTTTCTGTCCCTATTCCACATCAAGTCTGTGACTTAATTCTCTTACTAAATTTTTAGTGTTTTCTAGGATTTGCATTGCTTCAAAGAACTACCTCTTCAATTCCACTTCTGCCAGTGAGATGTGTTCTCCTTGCATCTTTTGGACAGTTGTTTTCCTCTAGCCATATCTATTTTTATTGGCAAAAATCGTCTTGTCCTTTCATACCTTTCCTTACTGGTACCTAATGCTGATACCAAGTTTTTCTATTCTATTTTGGGAGAAATCAGAGTGTGCAGCCCCATTTGCAGGAACTGTCTTCCCTGAACTTCCATGCCTACCTTTTCGTAAATTGTCCTATGCTAAATAGCACTGTTCACATTCTGTAAATTACATAATTATCAGGCAGATGCAAAGCCAGCTCTGCTAGCAGTTAACTTGCTTATCACAAGATAAACAATACCACAGTGGTATCAAAGGGTATCACAATGATACCTTGGATTAATAAAACAGATTAGTCAGGACCTGCATAGTACATAAACAGGTAAACAGTATATTACAATGCAAAGATCAACTGATTTTAATTCTCCAAAGGAAATATTAATAGAGTTACTGTCTACTTGAGCATTAGTTGCTAAAAGAACTGTTCGCTTTGTTTTCAGTAAACTACAAGGCATTTCTTTTAAATTAACTTCAGGCTTATTGCAGCTGATCTTGTGGCTTTCAAAATAACAAGGAAAATGTTTAAGTAGCTTAAGAATGGGTAAAAACAAATAATGTACTGTGAGGCTTATGAAACATGTAGGATTTTAAAACTAAAGCTTTAAAGTTTCTGCAAGTCTCTGAAGAGGAAAGGAGAAACTGTTTTGGCCATAAATAATACAACACAAGTTCTGTCTTTGGTTGTTGATAAGGTGCCATTTTATGAAGCTAAAGAAGGGATCAGTATCTCTTGAGTCCATTGTTTACTAATTAGTTAATCTTGTTTACATTTGCATAATGGAAAATTCATAACAACAAACATGTATTGATAGAAAACTAATCCCTGTCTAGATAAAGGAAAAAAACCCCCTCACTTCAAATTGCCAGATAGGCATATTAATCACGAACTTACGGCACAGAACTTGGGTGCTGCCTCCTCTTATTCTTGTGTTATTGGACAAAAGTGTCTGAATTTTTTTGTTGAACTTAGTTAGATGCATGGTGTTTTCTCTGTATCATAATACTTCTAAAGTTTATTTACTTGAACTATGTCCATCTTAGCATATGCAGCTTCAAGGTAATGGAGAACACCTAATTTCAGAATGGTGTTGCCTGTTGCTTGCAAGCAGTATTGCAGATTTTATGCTTAAGTAAGAAAAACAATGCTTGGGTAAACAGACTGGTTTTTGTATTTTGATCTTTCTGTTGTCATGCTTGACAAAATACAAAACTTACCAGTCATGAACAGGATAACATTTCCAAATAGACTTTTCCAAAATGAGGAATCTGGCCTTTGAAATAATTAATGCTCTTTACTTAACAGTTTTGAAATACATTGATTGAAATACATTGATTTGAAGATCAAATTTAATGGGAACAAGTACCCATTCAGAAACTACATTATAATGTATGAAGAGTAATGATGCAAGATAAGTTATTAAGAACATGAAGCGCATGACAGATTTCAGTAGCTCAATAGTTTGCTCAGTAAACAGGTAATGAGGCATGAAAGTTTCATAGTTGAAAGTGATTTTAAAAAATGTTACTGTTACATACGTTAACTTTCATCTTTGTGGCCTTTTTTACAAGTCATAGTTTGTTTCACTTTTATTTCTTAAATGCAGTTTTTTATCATAACATGAATTCCTGTCTAATTTTGAATTCACCCTGTGAAAATAATTGCACTTCCCAAAATAAAAATGAACTCAGAATTGCAAGCTTCAGCTAAGAGTTTTAGTGAATTGAAAAACAATAGATAATTTTTGAACATTAGACTCTTAGCTGACATTTGTATTAATTGTTTGCAATTTTGCCACATGCACATCATGCAAAATATGTAACATCTGACTAGAATTCAAAATGTTACTGTCAGATTAAAAAAAGTTAAAACCGAGCTTTGTAAATTGCTTTTCAATATATTAATAATTGGATGAGCTCTTTCTGCCTTTCTCTTCAATTTCTGTCATACTTCTCTTCAGGTAAGACTGACAAATTGAATACTTGGTTTAATTAGTTGTTTACTGCTTTGATGATGTTACTCTCTGAGGAGGCAGGGGTTATTTGCCAATTGTATTTAATTTGTTATAGCTATTGTACATACATTTCTAGAATTATAGCATTTCTCTCAGCTAAAAACCAATACAAATAATTTGTTTTTCTTTTGTTTCCTTTTCTTGAAGTCGATCAACATCTTATCCTTACACAGAAACCCAGATGTACAGCCAAAACACTGGGGGAAATTATTTTGATACTCAAGGAAGTTCTACACAGGTGACAACAGTGGTCTCATCTCATAGCATGGTGGGCACCGGAGGGATTCAGATGGGTGTCACTGGAGGACAACTCATTAGCAGCTCAGGAGGAACCTATCTGATTGGCAATTCAATGGAAAATTCTGGTCATTCAGTGACTCATACAACGCGGGCTTCCCCAGCAACAGTAAGTATTTCAGACTTATGCAGAATCTTTGAGACTAGTTTCTTAGTCACTCAGATGTTCTTGTAGACTGACATGGTTATTGTGACAGAAGGTGTAGCAATATTATGTTGTCAGAGTAGTACTATATAGTACTTTTTATAGAATGAGTAATACATACATATAAAAGTAAGAATACTGTGAAAGTTTAAACATGAAGGCAGTACTTTCCCTTGACAGCCTGCAAATATTTACATTTCATAGGTTATTTTTTTTTATTCAATTAATATCAGTACATGCTTTGGAAATGCTCACATAATCGTTTGTATGAGCTGAATATTTGTCAGGTTGGGAACTGAAACATCCTCGTCTAAAATTATTTTTTTCTGAAAATATAAGAAAACCACAATTGTTAGACATCTGTAAGTTCTCTGCCTTTGGTCAGTTTGTTTGCTTAATATTAGTGTGGGTTTGATAGCTTATTTCTAAATAATTTTAATTGATCAGAATACTGAGATACTACCATTTAACACTTGTTACTTGTCTTAAGATATGTTAAATAAGTAAGGATTAAATGTATTCCACAAATATAAATGAAGAGTTAGACTTACTTTGAACTTGTATATCATAGAATTATTTGAGTATTACCAAAATTCCATGCTATATTTTGCAAATTAAAAATGGTGTTGATATTTTTCAAGTAGAAGTCAAATTTACCAAAATTTAACAGAATCGAAGCTTCTCATGTTCAGCAATATCTTACTCTTCCTTCATATGTTGTTCCAAGCAACTGCTGTAACTCCTAGATCAACTTGTCTTTAAGAATAGAAAAAAGTACTGCTTGTTAAATTACAATAATTAAATTGCCTTTTTAACATTAAAGTAGTTTTCTCTTATGGTTCTATGTATTTTGCTTAGTATAGTTCTGTAAGTATGAGATATTAGAATATATCAGAAGTACATTTTTTGCTAAGGAAGTGGGAATCAACATTATTTTAGATTTTATGATGTTAGGCTTTTGGTGTGTGCGATTAAGGTTAAATATTCAAGAGCCAATGGAAACACAGAAGGTTCAGCTTAAGCTGTAATTTTGAAGCACCATGTCTGTTTTAATTTTACTCGAGGGCATTATTAAACTATGCAAAATAGAGCAATGTAATATTTTATTTCTATTGCTTCATTGGTAGGTAGAGCTTGTTTCACTTGTGATCCTTGTTTGATCTTTACCATCCAAACAGTTTTCTTTCTTGTATAGAGCCTTTATTGGAGTAATCAAAATAACATATGTCCAGGCTATTTTACTAGTACAATACTCAGAAAATATTTCCACATTTTCAATTAGTTTGGAGAATTTTCATATGGAGACATAGGATATAGAAATGAGTAAGAGTTTACTTACTAATGTATGTGGTCATCACAGACTCTCTTTCCTTGTGCCATGAGGTGCTAGTTCTGTTTAATCTTTTCAACTGTTAAGGTCATTGGTTTTATTGTTTTTAGTCCTTACTGATCAAATACTACCTTCTGTAATAAGAAAATTAATTCTCTTATTGATGTTAGCTATTTCTGATACATCTAATTTAAGACTAAAGGTACAAGCAAAAAAGTTTCAGATTGAAAGTCAAATATATAAAATAAGTCAATTTTATTCACTGTGTCTTAGATCAAAGAATCCTCAAAATCTAATTTGCTTTTCCCCAGATACACTATTTGTTTTATACAGAATTCAATAAAAGATACTCAGAGACATTTTACTTTATGTCTATCTTCACTTTATTTTCTTCAGTGTAATTCTGAGATCTGCTTTGGGTTTGATAAAGAACTAATATTTTGTTTCTAACATTTCATTCATGTTAATTTCTGTAAAACATCCATACAAGAAAGCTGAATGCTGAAGATACAGCAGGCAATAGCAGTGTTTTTGTAGCCAAAATATTAAGAATTGTGCACTATCAAAACTATTACATTTTATATTCAGTAATGGTATATGTTACAATGCACAAAGAACATTTGTTAGCTTTTTCTTTACTAATTTCATTGCTTCTTCCCCATATATCCTTTATTGGCCTGTTAAAATACTTCTCTATCTACTAAGAGAGATCTTTTTCACTTAAACAGAAAGGCATTGAGATTATAAGATCTTCTACATGAGATATAAGGTGGATAAACAGCTTTCCACGATGACGATTTTGATGTGAGCAGATTTGGATTGGTCAAGAATAAATTATGATTGACTTAAACAAGATGTGATTTACCCTAGCTGTATTTGAAACTAATTTGCATGTTCAAACTTAAATATCAGCCAGCTTTCACGGGCCCCTCTTCCTATCCCTGAAGAGGCTGAAATCTGCCCTTCTGAAGTCAAGGGTAGTAAGCTTACTGTGAGCCCTCCTTACTGCCCTAAGGATCTTGAACTGCACCATTTCATGGTTACTAGAGCCTAGGCTGCCCTTGAGCTTAACATCCCTCACCAGCCCTTTCTTGTTTGTGAGGACAAGATCCAGCATAGCACCTCTCCTTGTTGGTTCCTTGATTATTTGGAAAAGCAAGTTATCATCCTTGCACTCTAGGAACCTCCTGGATTGTTTGTGTTTAGCAGAGTTGTTCTTGCAACAGATGTAAGGTGGTTGAAGTCTCCCATGACGACCATGGCTTGTGAATGTGAAGCTGCTCCTATCTGTCTATATAGTGCCTTGTGTAAATTATCCTCCTGCTCAGGTGGCCTGTAGCAAACCCCCACCGTGGTGTCATCTTGGCCTTTCTTCCCCTTAATTTTAACTTACAAGCTCTCTCTGTTGGTTCCTCATCCATCCCCAGGGCGGTCCTTCATGCACTCCAGCTGGTCTTCGACATAGAGGGCAACACCCCCACCCCATCTCTCCTGTCTGTCCTTCCTGAAGAGTTTATAACCCTCCATTCTGATGCTGCAGTCATAGGAGCCATCCAAACAGGTCTCAGTGATGCCAAGGAGATCATAGCCTTGCAGGCTCACCCTCACCTCTAATTCCTTCTGTTTATTCCCCATGCTGCATGCATTTGCAGCTATCAGCAAAGAAAAGGCATCTATATTTAACTAGAAAATTTAATTGTTAATAATGAAATGTAAATCACCTTTTTTTTCCTTTTGTCTAAGGACTGTTTTTGTGATAAAACAGGATGATCTAATGGACATTTTGTAATATCACAAGATTAAGAAATTCATATAGTTCTAGTAATAATTGTGTTATGCTTGTCAGCAGTTAGAGGCTTCTGAGTATTAGTCTTGTTTCCTAACAAGCTTTATGATTCATCTGCAATTACTGTTGTCATTCATCAGTCATCATCAACCATAGGAGATGTCCAGTCATTCTGTTACAGAAATTTATCCTATTTCAGTGCAAATCTAGATGTGCATGAAAATAAAACCAAAATTAGTATGAGGTATCATCATGGAGTATTATTTCTGGTGTTAAGCTGAGTACGCAAAATTTGCTCTTAACTTTAGAACAAGGATAGTGCCTAACAAAAAGGTGTAATTAATGGAGGAAGAAGAACAAGAAATAAAATGGTCCAGTGTAAACATCATACCTTGATAATGTAGTTTTAGTGGAAGTACTCTAGTTATTTTAAGAACAAAAAGTAACAAACGTTTAAACAGTCCATTAATGCTGGAGGGATTATGATTTGGAAAACAGTTTGGGATGAGATTTTATTTATTAATCTCTTTCTTGGTAGAGGAACTTTTTCCAACTTCATTCCCCAGCTTTTGTGGTACTTTTTATTCATCTGGGTCCATTTTAGTATGAAAAAACCCCCACCTTTCTGATAAAATCAAAGATGCACAGATTTTTGTGCAACAAATTATTATTACATCATATGGTCTGACCTCTTATACTAGGAAGACATTTACTTATGACTTCTTCAGCTGAGCACAGTGACCTCTTTTGTGAAAAAGGTATTTCGGAGGTACAAAACCGAAGATAATATTTTTTTCTTCTTTTAAATGAGTCATAAGAATGGTTAACCACTACTACTGCAGAATACAAATGAACATTTGTGTGCTATGAAGTAACTCAAGGGGTGGGAAGTTCAGAGGATTTGTAGATCTTGTGACTTTATAAACCTGTACCTCCAAGACTTTTTATCCTGCTTTAGTTTCTTCTATGGAGATGTGGAGCATCATGGCTTCTTCAGCTGTCTTTCAGAAGTGTCAGTCTAGCATTGTGACCAAATTAACTTCTGTCTTTCTATGCCCATTTAAGTGTCTTGCAGCTTCACTGGCTTGAGTTGAGACTGTGAACTTTTCACAAGACAAAGAATGTGAGGAGAAGGGAGAATGACGCTCTTAAAGGCAGCTACACCTACCCTGCCTGCATTCTGGCTTCATCTGTCTGTATTCCTTTTGCTTCTGATGCAGTCTCGCTTCAGTTTCCAGTCATAGGCTTTTGATGTGTTTTCTGCGTAAAAGCCCTATAGTACCTCATAGGTTGTTTCCAGTTTTGGCAATATTCAGATGGGATAGGCAAGGAAGGAGAGATGGTGGGGTGGCCCTCTATGTTAGGGATAGATTTGAATGTCTACAACTTAACGTTATGAATGACAGTGTTGAGTATTTATGGGTGAGAATGAAGGGGAAGACCGGTAAGGCAGACATCTTGGTGCGAGTTTATTATAGACCACCCAACCAGGATGTAGAGGCTATAAACAGCTGGCAGAGGTCTCACAATGGCCAGCCCTTGTTCTCATGGTGGAATTCATCTTCCCAGATGTCTGCTGAAAATAAAACACAGCACAGAGGGAACAGTCCCAGATGTTCCTGGAGTGTGTGAAAGACAACTTCCTGACACAGCTGGTGAGGGAGCCAACTAGAGACAGTGACCTGCTGCTTGTTAACAGTGAAGGTCTTATGGGGGTTGTAAAGGCTGGAGGTTGTCTTGGGCATAGTGATCATGAAGTGATAGAGTTCTCAATTCTTGGAGAAGAGTGGGAGCCAGCAGAGCTGCCACTTTGGACTTCCAAAGGGCAGACTTTGGTCTGTTTCAGGG